TGCTGCTGCTGCTGCTGCTGCTGCTGCTGCTGCTGCTGCTGCTGCTGCTACTGTTACTGCAGGGCGTACACTGTGGACGACGCACCACCTGCCTGCATGGCAGACCGTTTACAGGTAGAACACTTAGACCACACAATCGCACTCCTGCTAAACCGTTAAGCAACCTCGTTGACTTCTTTCTCCCCCTCTGTCATTCTCTCTCTCTCGCTCTCTCTCTCTCTCTTTCTCTCTCTCTCTCTCTCTTTTTCTCTCGCGCTCTCTCTCTCTCTCTCTCTCTCTTTCTCTCTCTCTATATATATATAGAATATATCTAGTGAGAATCTCTATACACGCAGAATCTCTACGCCGCCGTGGTGCCTATTACGGTAACGTCAGCTTTACATTCCGATCTGTCCTTCGCAAGCCTGTTCAAGGTTATGTCCCAGTTATGTTTCCCAGTTATGGCCTGAGGCAGCAGCGACATAGCTCTACATTTTCTGTCCGTGCTTCGCAAGCCTCCTCGTGGTTCCCCAGCTATGTCCAACCTTCTTCATTCTGCGCACCGCCGCGGCAAGTGATAAGACGAATGGGAAATAAAAGTAATCATAATTTTATACATCTGGATAGATGAAATCGTTAAGGGGTTTCAAAGGGCTGTGGTCGGGGTGGAATCGCCAGAATTCAATTATAATTTAGGCAGGAATGGATTGCATGCTGCAGGTAGATGTGATGGCGTTTCGATCAATAGTCTCGCGTGAGATTGTTGAAATCAGCCAGGGCTCTTCGGATAAAAGGGGACAGCTTCTGTTACATCCGTACGTATCTGTATAACAGTTTCAAATCCGGGATCATCCCGGAAGAGGGGTAGCTAGTGCGAGTGCCTAGCTAAAGCGCTAAGAAAGTATGAGCGGGGGAAGGGGTAGAGGACCAGCCACGGTAAGTTGTGAAAACATAGAATGCACGAGTTTACGCATTTACTCGTGGCACATCTGAGTAGATTTACAGTAGCGATTTCTCACCAGAACGAGTATTTTTAATTTCACCCTTCCCTCCATCAAGATACAATAGCACTTTTAGTATTATTGTTAATAATAATAATAATAACTCAAAACCAGATACGAACAGCACATAATTATATTCTTCTTCGCACCTGCCAAAACGCCCGCGTGCGTATATATTATATATTATATATATATATTGTTGTATGTGGTTGTGGTGTGTGTGTGTGTGTGTGGTGTTGTGGTGTGTGTGTTGTGGGGGTGTTTGTGTGCAACGTGTTAATGTGTAAAGTAGCGTGTGGATAATACAGAGAGTCAGCGCGTGCGTGTTAGTGCGTATGAGTGTTGAAATGATTTAAAGTCTACTTGTATAGAAGCCATTGTTCTTTTAGCTGTATTTTTTGTGTATTTGTTTATCGCTAAAGCTGTTTTGTAGTTTACGCGTAAATCTTATTAATTTTAATGCTCAGCACTATCGCAGTCCATACAGATCTCATGCAGTATACGTTATTCGTAGCTATGTTAAAAAATTCACGCAACAATAAAATAATAAAAAGGGCCGTCGCTGCTAAAGCATCCAAGAGCCAACTAATTCGCACTAAGGTATCTCGAATTCGAGTTGCACCTTGTACAGCCAGCTGCTATCGTGATTCGTACCAATTGAAAGATCCTTTGAGCTGTGGCGGAAACGTATAGCCGACACTACACTACACACACACACACACACACACACACAGAAAAACCCCAATTTATAGTAAGATTTAAATAATAATAATTATATATCAATGAATGAGGGCACTGGTCATAATTTTGTATAGCACATGGTAATCAGGCACAGGTAACAGAACTAGAGTGGCAGTGTGCAAGAGCAGTGGGTCACGGACGCGGCAGTGTCATTGTTACTTATAATTGTTTTTATTGTTAATGACGTCATCACGGTTATGACGCTTACTTTACCATGTGAACGCTGGGACTGGTCATATTATGATGATGTCATCATTAGTGATAATCGCGATGACAGATAAGGAACTGGGAAATGTGAATTGCAATAAATTCCGGGTTGTGTAACCCATAGGAGACAACTTCACCCAGGAATTTTTCCATAAACGTGTGCAAGCATGCAAGTAAAATGCATGACAGATCGTCCATGTGACTATGAGTAAGTATAATATATTTTCAGAAAATGAAATGAAGAGAAAGTGCGAGAGAACGTAAAGGCGCAAACGTGAGCGATGGATCGTTACGCGAAAAAGAGGGAGAGCGTTCACGTTTTTTACTAAACAAAACGATCAAATGATTATAAGAGCATTCATTCTAAATATATTTTACATTTTAGCAAATCCCCAACTTGTCTCATCCATACGTTTTTGTGGAAGTTGGAGTGAAAGAGTTGAACGATGAAGTGAACCAACTACAGTGAAAGAGTTGAACGATGCGTTTTTGAACGTGTTACCAGAGTTTGTATGAGTGTAAATAATAACATGCGATGTTTTATTGATACAAAGATCTACGGCGTCGAAAGAGGGCATGGGTTACATACAACCCGATTTTAACGTGGCCAGCTACAGAAATCTCTGCAAGTCTCTCGTCACCATGACTACAGACAGAAGCAAGCAGCATCACGGCAAGAACGATTCGAGAGCCTGTTTGTTCGTCTGCTATGCTTAATCCAGCATCTTCCGGCGCGTAATGCGAACCAATAACGAAAATGATGACTCGGTGCACACTACGCAACTAATTACTTGGGATGAGTAGCATGTACTCTATAAGTACTAGAGATGAGAAGCGCGTACTCTATAAGTACTAGAGATGAGTAACGTGTACTCTATTTATTTAATTTTATTTAATTTTTAATTTTTAATTTATTTACGAAAACGGCGAAGGTTACTTTGAAATTAAATGTCGCTCATCCCGAGTACTTATAAGTACTCGGGATGAGCGACATTTAATTTTAAAGTAACCTTCGCGTGTTCGTTTTAAATATATTCGCGTCAGGCAGTTTTTTTACGTATATATGGAACTTGTAAGCACTCGTGTGGCCAGTACGATGCAGAGCTATTCATGTATGGCTGGTTTTCTAGATTTAAATATAAAATTCTTAATTATTACATTTCGCCGTGACGTCTTTGAACACGCAAACACGTGTAATTAGATGATTACCTTAACTTTTAATTAGTTGCAACTCCTACGACCAAGCCTCTGACCAGAGACGTGGTTAAGAAACACAGTACGAGTGAACATCTGGACAAGAGCGACAGCATGTTAGTGAAGCGCTTAAACAGCATAGTTGCAAAGCATACGGGACTTCAATCACCACAGAGCAATGGCAGTCTGACGTCACATGGTTCTGGACTCGTTTTTCCACGCATTCTGTCAACGCAAGATGGGTAATGTGGCAACGTAGTTCGCGTAGCCTATAATATTACTACATAGAATATTAAAATAAATACGTATGTAAGCATAGTAGTATTATTAAATCGTGAGTAGATGTATAGAAACAGGGGAAACGCCTATTGCATGACAACGTGGCGCGTAATTCTTTGCTCTGATTGGACAGGAGAGGGTCACTGCTATCCCTGCGACCTTCAGTAAACTGGGAAAAAAAGGATTCGCCCTCTTCCAGAGATAGAAGAGGATCATTGACATCAAGGCTACCTTCGGTTAACGGGGAGAGAAATGGGTCGCTCGCATCCATCTACAAGACAGCGTTATTCATATCTAGCAAACCTTCAATCAACGGGGAGATGAAAGTACCATTTCCTTCAACGGGCAAGAGAGGTTCACTGCCATTGCAGTCACCCTCGCTAGACGGTGAGAGAAGAGGTTCATTCCTGCCCACGGACAGAAAAGGTTCGCTGCAATCGCAGCCACCCTCCCTAGCCGCGGAGAGAAGCGGTTCATTTCTTTCCACGGACAGAAGAGGGTCATTGACATCAAAACAAATTTTCGGGGGCGGAGAAAGGAGAGGGTCGTTAGGCTCGATGAGCAGGCGAGGATCAATAAGCAAGCACGCAACGGCGAGAGATAAGCGAGGGTGCACGAGTAAGCGCGGATCTGTGACAGGCGGCAGGCGGCCAGGACCTGACGCACAATCACTGCAGGAGATCTATGACATAATCAGCGAAATAAAGTGAGTAGATTACAGATTTATCGGAAAGTGTAGCGATTTCGCACTAATTAGTATTTGCGCACTAGCTCGATCCCTGGCGAAAATTTGGCCCGTATGTAATCTAAGGTTACGTTGCACAAATACGCATACACACACGCACGTACACCACACTCCACCCCGCCACACACAATTACGCAAAAATAATGAACAGCATCGGATAAAATATCACTGTCAGTTTTGCTCAGCCTCTAACATTTATTATCTCACAGTAGGCGACTCGTCGCTGGGCCGGCCAGCAATCGGAAGCTCCCGCTAATCGGCAACGACGCCGACTTCCGGGCCAAAGTTCAAGCGCAGCTGACCACGTTGACGGCTATCCTGCAGCGACTGAAAGAGCAATCGCCAGGGCCGTGGGCGGATGGCATCAATCCAAAGGAGCTGCTGGACTGCACGTACCTGCGGCTGTCAGACAACAATGTCGAGAGGCTGGAGAAGATGTGTGAGGATGCCGGGATGCTCGTGGGAATCCATCCTCACTCGGCGATACCAGATGTCGCTGCTGCTGTGTTCGATAGCGAACCATAGTGCTCACCCACCCATACCCCACCATAATGCCCATCCCACCCTCACTCCACCGCAGCACCCACCCACCCTCACTCCACCGCAGCAATCACCCACCCTCACTCCACCGCAGCACTCACCCACCCTCACTCCACCGCAGCACCCACCCACCCTCACTCCACCGCAGCACTCACTCACCCACCCTCACTCCACCGCAGCACTCACCCACCCTCCTTCCACCGCAGCACTCACGCACCCTCACTCCACCGCAGCACCCACCCACCCTCACTCCACCGCAGCAATCACGCAACGCTACTGCCCTATATAGACAGCCCTCTTCACTAAAAGATAATGTTTGTTAATTCTGTTTGGAAGTTGTCAAATTGTTCGAATCTTGCACGATTAAATTAGCAAGGAGAAAGATCGGCACTTCTCATCTAAACATTTCACCTGTAAAGCTTCTAAAGAATGTGCAGCGGGTTGTTGATTCGACACGGAGTAAGAAAAAGCCCAACAGTTAAGTATTTATGCCACTGTAATCATTTAATGATAGTGAGAATGACAATAATCATCAGCTCATGAGAAATAAACGTTAACTGTAATTGACTATTTATACTAAAAGAGAAACAATAATAATTTTGTTTACATTTCCGTTCGTTCGCTCTTCGGCAGCTCCGCGCTGCACTTGGCTGCCTGCCTGCCTGCCTGCCTGCCTGCCTGCCTGCCTATCGTGGCAAGCGTTGCCAGTCACGTCTGATGAAAGCAGAGATTACCATGGCCAGTATACAACTCGGCATAAACGGACTCAACGAATAATGGTTTTATTTTTCATACACGTAGCCCTAACCTTCTCGTCTGCTACGGATTGCAGCCCGTCGGAAGGTGCCAGCGTACGTTGTTTGCACGGTGAACGAAGTACAGGCGACGCGATTCCACGGCGATTCCCGCGCGCGAATCGGCTGAAGCTCCTTCGGAAGGTTGCTGCAGGGGGAGGAAAACGTAGACGTACAACCACATGAACGCGCACACTATAGCGCTTTCCGTGGCACTCACACCGACACTCGACACACACATTACCGTCGTAGTTTCACGGTCGAAGATACAAACTACACCAAAAGAGGAACATAAAACTGGGCAGGTCTGGCGGGGGGAGAGGATGGGGGAGAGCCGACTCAGTGGACAATCGGGATCGAACTTCTCGACCACCGTGGAAATCGCGGCGGTCGCGCCAAGAGAAAAGCACCTTCGCCATTTTAATATTGAAATACCCAGATCGCTAGGCATCTGACCTGCTCGCGTGGCAGTGGTGCTGCTGCCGGGGGTGGTGCTGGTCTAACACTGCCGCGGACAACCGGCGCGGGCATGTATGTATATCAGGGGTTAATACTGACAAATTGTCATTTTGTCAATAATGACAAAATGATTGACAAAATGATGATTTTGTCATTTTGTACAAATTGTCAATAATGACAATTTGTCATTAGATATATATATATATATATGACCGCACGCGTTTTTGCGAACAGACACACACTCAGAACTGCCCCCGACAAAGCACGATAGCAAGATAGGGAGCTCTCGAGAGGCCGGCCCTTTAGCCGGGCACCCGGTGAAAATAAACGCGAGGGCTTTTCGTCACGCATGCGGCTGGCTATACGGGATCGGGCGATAGTCACGCCCGCCTGGAATTTCCACAATAAAGAGCCGACATTGACGCGCCACTGCCATCGAGAAAGCGCGGCCGTGTGCTTTATGCGAATGAAAGGGGCATCTCGGTGCACACACACAGTCAGACAGTCGCACGCAGGAGCAAAAACGCACGGCCATTGCCCATTTTGATTCTCCAGAGGGAACTTTCGATGCGCTGAAACGGATAAGTGCGCTCGAGACGACAGTGTTTTCGACGTAGCTGCGGCGCGCGCACAAATAATGCACGCGGACATGTTCTCTCCGATCTCCACTATTCATGTTATGATACGAGCTTGATAATATACACGACGGGTAATCATTTTTTACAGGTCACCACGCTAAAGCGATGGCAGTTGCACCCGAAAGTTGATTCTCTCTGAAATCGAAAAAAATATAGACAAGGTGTGTGGTATACATCTATCGAACGGACTTGGGAACATCGACTGGGCTCCTCTCAATGTTCGCAAACATTCTATACATCTGCAATGAAACGGCATTCATTTAAAAATAACAAAATAACAGATACCTGTATTTTCCCCAACTACAACTAATTGACCGTAGAAAGAGGGTTTCTCTCTGCCGAAGCCGGCTTGCACGCACTTCGCGCCCAATAGACGACGCTACACAATGAATAACCCCGTGTCGTCACCAAGCTGCACAAGAACGGAAAACAGGGGGTGCTGCGAATCAATACAAAAATCACCAGGTAAGATTTCTAAATTTGCTGCAGTCGAATTGTCACGAATTTATACAAAATGCCTACAAAGCTTACACCGAACTATTCTGGCAGCATCAACAGCAGCGGCAGCAGCAGCGAAAGCGTTCACCACTGCTTTATATACAGCACATTTCAAATATAGATCATTGCTAAATCCGCGTTAGACAGTTGCCTGGGAGCACGTGACGCACAACTTAAATACACCGTGCCGTACTAAAAACTTTTACGCGATGCGCGCGTTTGTAGAGGAGACGGGAGGGTGCCGGTTCTTAACATCCATCGACCGATGCCCCCTCGACGCTAGAAACCGCAGCTCGTCAACCTCACTTCTCACCACTGCTCTGCAGCATTCTGCAGGCGTTACCACCGCGCAACCAACAGTGCAACGCCCTCGTGGCTGAAGGCTTCAACCGAGACTAGGGCGGGTCCACAGGGGAGACGGGAAAATTCCGCTGCGTGTAAAATTCAGACAAAATCCTGCAGCGGCGGACACGGATCGAAGGACGTCCTTAAACACGCGGGAACTGAGCACGAACGATGCTGGATGGATCCTGTAAACGTTACGCAATGATGGATGCAGCGTGGGCAACGCAGGTACGGACCAGGAGCATTCCCGCCACACTAGCCGCATCCGGACGCGACACCGCGTACAGTACAGGAACATTCCTGAGAGCGTCCAACCAAAGCGAAAAACCAATACGCGTTCGGTTACGAAAACCGCCACGTGAATCCGCAAGTCTCGTTCCGCATTCCCTCGACGGGCCCGCCGTCTCATCGAACGGTGATGTACACAGTCTTCGAGGGCGAGGTAGCAGCTGCTGGTGGTGGCCGCTGTCATCGTAACGGTGGTGGTGGTGGAGGTGGAGGTTCCAGGAGTATTGTGGTTACGACTGCGCCTGCGCGGTGCCCGGATTCTGCATGCCGCCGACACCGCTGGTCATGATTGGCGAGCCGGAGACCATGCCCACCGCCCCGACGGGCATGCCTGGAGCTCCTGCAAAGTAGCACAATCCACTAATGGCGGCAGATAGCATGGAGGATTGCAAACGCGATTTTCCCATTGTGCAAGCGCTAAATTTCTAAACCTGTCCGAACACGGCTTTCCAAAGCATTCAGCGGGCGCCTAATCCTGAGTAACAACACACTTCACAACTGCTGTTTCATAGACTTCATTCATAACATCTCGATGTTTGCCCCAGAATTCACACCTAGGTTGAAACAAGATTGATCTATAATACAACAAAGAGAAGATAACAATTTTCTAGCTTAAGTAAAATAAGATCAGTTTAAAAAGTAAATCTACAAAGCAATTTTCTGTATATTGCTGTACAATTCTTCTTTCCTCACTAAAATCAGACCTGCCTATAGAATTCAATATTTCTCGACTACCTAAGCAGATCCAGTACACTATTCCATATGGGTTCGATGAGCTTACCACTCAATGCCATTGAGCTATACAGTTTAAAATAATTCTAAGTTTAAGGTTATAATAACATGAATAAGTTTAAGCAGGCTTATAAAAATAATAGCTTGATTTCTATTTACATTTATTAAACAGAATTTTACCTTAACAGGAGCACGATTTTCCTGTGTTCACATTGTACAGACTGTATCTGTGATATATTCCTGCTTCAAATAAAACATTGGTAATCGGATACAATGTTACTGCTGCGTTACTCACCTACAGAGCTGGACATAGATGTGGGTGAGCTGTGGCCGGACATGCGTCCTTGATCCTTTACTATCGGGTCTGCAATGAGAAGAGAAGCGTATTGAAAATCAACAGCGACGAGGCTAAAAGTAAATGTCTGAGGTGGTCCTAATACACACACAGCAGCAGCCATACGTGAATTATTCACTCGAAGGTGAAAGCTGCAAGCAATTAACGCCTGATGCAACCCCGTCGTAACAGATTCCATACAGTCATCTTGATGAACTGAAAGTTTACAGCCACTCACAAAAATATGGGTGCTCCATGGATTCTCTAGCCGTGAGGCGCTCTTGGTGATCGTAGCGTAGTAGCTTGTCCAAGAAGTCGAGAGCCTCGGGGCTCACGAGGTGCTGATTCTCACTGTGCACAAACCGCTCCCATCTTTTCCTCGAGTGTCTGCACATTAAAACGCATCCTTACATTCGTTACACTCATTACAGCATAGCGTAATCTCTCTAGCGAACCAACACGGGGCAGCGAGCACCCATAGCTATACGATGTCGATTCGTCTCACAGTGATTTATCACTACATAGCATCTTATTGTCTCAACATCACTCACTATAATGCGAGCCTACTGTAATACGTAATACTTAAGCCGTAGGAGTAACGACGATCCGCACCTGCCGAGGATGTCATTGAACCTAGGATCCAACTCGATCTGGTATTTGTCTATGTACTCGTACAACTCCTCCGTGCCGAGAACTTTTGCTATGCGAACGAGCTGCAAAGCAATGGAATGCCATCAAACGTTACGTGCCGCCGGATACAGACAGATATATACATGCGAGGCTCGAATTTCAGCGCAAATCCGGAAATCGAGGGGTATCCTGTGCTACGGATAGCTCTCAGATTTCTCATGATCACCCAATGTTAAATCTACAAGTATACGGATTCATTACCAAAAAGCAGGTAAATTCACAGGGCCCATTGTAGTGCTGTATATATAAACGTGTGTGCGTATGCGTGCGTGTGTGTAATAATAACTAGAGAATATATTATAATTATGTATGCAACAAAAATAAACTATAAACAGGCACATGACGTGAGAAGCATGGATGTGTTTGATAGGAAGCTGATTTTTTGGTTCGTGAAGTCACAAATTTATATAGTAGTACAGGCCCACAGCACGGCACGAAATTCAGATTTTTTTGCACCGGTCCACAGGGCTGGTAACAGCAATTTTTTACCAGCCCCCACCATAATTTCCAAGCCCTCAAAATTTTTGTTAAACTATGGTGTGATATCCTTCAGGTAAAACAGTAATATAGGCTATTTGCTCATTAATGCTATAAATAATGAAAGTGTCAATGACACTATAGCTCACCTTGGGTATGATAGAAGAGGGAGATGATATTTAAAATTTGGAAAGTGTTTCATTTATCTTTATGACTGACCAAAATGTGATCAAATGTCCTTATTCCCCGTTTTATACTAATAGAAATTTTACTGTTTTGTTTCAGGGTTAGTTTTGATGCGAAAATAAATGTTTCAGATCTGAAAGTCTGGGCGAGAGATGGCGCTACGCCTAAATGATCGCCATTTTGGTTTTTGATTATCGTGCAAATAAAAGTAATAAAATATTCCAGTCAAATTACTGTAACGAAGAATCTAAAACACAATATTACACGTAGGTATGATTAGGTAGGTAGGGTGGATGGCCATTTCCATTTTTGTCAAAAAGTGGGCGTGGCTCGAAAGAAGGTCGACTGGCGTGCTCTAAAATAGGACGTCCAGATCTCTCCCATAGGAGTAACAACTGTATGCAATTTGAAACATGTGGGTCAAACGGTTCTTGAGTTATCGTTGACCGTAGGCAGCCACTGAAATGCATAGTGAAATTGCCAAAATCTACCTAATTTGCATAATTGAAAAAAAATGTCAAAACCCCTGTGATATGTTTTGGGGCCAGTCATTATTCATTCACATATATACCAAAAATGAGCAAAATCCGTTGAACCTGGTCCTGAACTGACTTATGGCCATTTCCATTTTGCCAAAAAGTGGGCGTGGCTCAAAAGTAGGTCAACTGGCGTGCCCCAAAATAGGACGTTCATACCTCTCCCATAGGAGTAACAACTTATGCAATTTGAAACATGTGGGTCAAACGGTTCTCAAGTTATCGTTGACCGTAGCCAAATGTTGACGGACAGACGGACGTACGGACGTACGATGGACGACGCCCCATGGCAATAGCTCATCTTGACGATGTCAAAGTGAGCTAAAAATGTAGGTACTCGCTAGCACGGCTGAAACCACCGGCTCGGAAGGCCGGTATTTTGCCAATGTTACCGGCCCTCCAAATAATTTGCCGACATATGCCGGTGGGCCGGTGCTAATCTCGCGCCCGGTAGTATATAGTATATACTAGTACCCAACCTCTGGAAATCAAAGCCCTGTATATACACGTAAGATAGTAACACAAGTATATGAAATAAATATGAGTACGACTTGCCTGAAACATAAAAATTACATCAAAAACCGTATCGAGCATCCAACTTAGCTGTATGTCCATAATAAAAAGAGGTACAGATACACAGTAAAGTGCGAGTGCAACTTGGATGGTCAACACGTGTCTTGATGTAATATATAACTAGATACACATAATAAATCATATGTAAACTAAGGATGGAAAGGTTGAATTTTCGTGTTTCGAGCAAGGCAAGTCACACCCCTCCCAAATTAACGTACTCGTGGTCCATGTAGTATTGGTAGAATCACTGCAAATTTGGCAATTTTGCCCACAAGAGGGCAGCCCATGGCCCAGTCAAGTCTGCATTGCAAAACCATCAAATGTACATCCTTTACTTGCCCTCGGCTTTAAGGGACACACTACACCGTAGAATTTTAGGGTATGTTACGATAGCAAATGTATAACTAATAGTATATACCTACAAATTTCTATAATCATGCATTTACATTTGTCATAAAACAACAGTGAGTTTCGAAATCGTTATCTTTGGCTGCTGACATGACACCCTGCGCCACCCTGACGAAGTTGCGCTTTTACCGATTTATTTTGCACGTTACAGACCGAGGGCTAATCAAGAAAGTGCAATTATATTTATACCTAACTGCTATTTAATATAACCATTTTTATTTTAGGACAAATTCGTCCATATTATAACTGAATCTAAACTTGTTTATAAGATATTGCAATCCCTCTCCTCTTAAACTAATAAATAAGAAACACCCTCGGTCTGTAGCCTGCAGCCGAAAGATTGCGATGCACAACTTTGAAAGTAGATGGGCTAGTAGTTGCACCACCGTCGTTGCAAGCAGCGATACAGAAGTTAGTTTTAAAACATTTAAAAAAAACATTTCTAATGAATATTGAACAATGAAATTTTTTATGTAGTGTAATTTAAACCGATTTCACCTGAAAATATGTAAAAGAACCTAGGGTCATGTATCTCTTATAATAATAGTCAACATAAATCTCGAGTTACACTATATGTTTAAACACTGATTTCGATTTGATGGGTATATTTCCTCACCTGGTCATAATTGTCATGTCCATGGAAAAAGGGTTCTTTCCTAAAGATCATGCTGGCCAGCATACAACCCAAACTCCACATGTCAAGTGAGTAGTCGTACTGCTGTAAAGGCCAAAGCAGACAGGCTTACTACCACGTAAAACCAAAACATGATCCAAAAACCTCGTCTTATGTAACACGAGCAGGACCTAATAATTAGGCCTCATGTAACACAAACAAGGCCTAACAATATCACCCTCAGTGTCCCAACCATGCGCCAACAATATTGCTACTCGAAACACAGAGAGAGTTCAAATTGGCTGAATAATGAGGTATTCAGCATTACACTAGGAGGCAGTCACTCTACTTCATGAACTAATAAGATTTCAGCAGGCATTCCCCCAATCAGAAATAACCAAAAAAACGTGTTGGCCTGGCCAAAGTCCGCGTTAAAAATTCCACTGGCAATTCTTTATTGAAGGTACATCATCTCCAAAGTGTCCTCCATTACAAATCACTACCTGATGTCCCAAATATCATCGACGTGCTCATGACCACGTACAAACCACTCACCTGATAGTCAACGAGGAGCTCTGGTCCCTTAAAATACCGCGACGCAACGCGCACATTATACTCCTGGCCAGGATGATAGAATTCTGCCAGTCCCCAGTCAATGAGTCTCAACTGTTAATAGATAAACAAGATTATAGAGTCCAGCTACCACTCCTATAATTTGTATGGCATCGTACAACTTAAGCAATCAATGTGTGGTTGCATGTACGCATACATACACAATCACGCACGCACACAATTCAATATCATCAACTGCACCAACGATGTGCACAATGTGCCGCTTTGCTGGCGTAACCTCTAGCTGCATAAGTTATTGTTCAATCCATATATGTGTTTATCCCAAAATATGTGTATTTTTAAAATATTCTGCATTAAGGTAATTTTTTCAGAGAAACTTAGCCAAGTTAATTGAAAGCAAAAGGAAAATCTTGGCTGATTCTGCAGTGTTTCCAACCAGTTTATGCAATCGATGATCGATAATAAAATTGCGACCGAATGCCAACACTACTATTAAGTGTCAGTGAATGATTCTTGCCTTTTTGTTTTCGTGGTCAATCATGACGTTGTGTGGTTTTACATCTCTGTGCATGATACCCATGCTGTGACAGAAATCCAGAGCCTATTAAAAATATAAAATATTCAATGGCAATTACAACATGAGACGCTATTTCGGTTACAGAGAATATGGTACGATGTAAACTTCCTAGAAGTATACGAATAAGGCAGTATGCAGGAAAATCATTTTGCATTAAATGAATTGCTTAGTAAAACCAATATAAATATGAAAATCCTATATAAAATTATTTGAATGTCAGAGAAACATAGTTTAAACAATTATTACATGGTGATACCACCAAGCTTCACTGCTTTACCTTCAGAAGTTCATAGAGATAGAATCTGATATCGTAGTCTGTTAATGTCTGATAGAGTTGCTGCAAAAAAAGGCCATTTTTGTGAACCAACAGTTGCATACAACACAATAGCCACATTAATAAATTGATCAATTAAAGTAAGAAATGCACCTTAATTGGTACCCCAAAATTATCTATCAGGTATGAAATTAAATCAAGCTAATGACAGTGTTCCTGTTTGTCTTGAATGGTCATACTACCATATTGCGCTCCCAATTTTTCTGTTCCTTTCAAGAAATTCTAACACAGATCACACACAAATATATAATTTTTGACCAAGGAAAAATGAAGAATGAAAGGAGTTCGACGTTTTTCACACATCTTGAACCTAACCAACTATCAAATAAGTATTGAAATGCATTTTGAATTGCTGCTTAATTTTTCTGCTAAAAACCAACAAGTCACTGTAATTTATAAGCCTTAGCAAGACAACATCAAAAGCTAATAATACCTGATAGGTATTATTAGCTCTCAATAACATGTGACCTAGTGATTATCACAGCTACTCACAATATATTGATATGGTGATCAGTATAGATAGGATAGATAAATAGTAACTTGGTAGAGATTTTCGAAGTTTGACAGTTAAGGTGGGATTACACTATCAACCCGATGACTTCTATGTTCCACTTCCCATGATTTGTTTATATATTCTCTGCATTTCAAGGTCAACTGTTTCCCCCAGTGCCAAATTTATGCATATACAGATCAAGCTGGCACAGAAACCATGGCCAGAAAACACACCTCTTGTTTGTGTGTTGTATTCTGATTGGCTAAATGGCCAAAAGTTAATAAAACTTAATTAAGTCGTTTGGTTTAATAAAAAGATAACAAATTAGATCATGTTCTACTTCCTGCACTCATCCAAGTCGTCTAGTTAACCAACTTTATTCAGCTACCTTTATGTTGACACAATTGATTAACCATTTGTCAAAAATTAACCTGCCAACCATTTGACTAAAAGTCGATACTGAAAACAGAGCTTTATTGTCTTACCTTGAAATCTGTATTGTTGACATGCTCAAATATTAGAGCTGGTGTTCTGGACTGCAAAGAGTATCATATCATGAATTAGACAGGACTAATAAATGCAAATCATTTACACAACACATCATGCATAATAAAGGCACACGTCTTTTACTGCATAGAAACAATAGCCACAAAAGTCATGTTTGAGCATCTTCTTAAAGCTACTGTAAGTACATCTTTCATTTTGCCAGGAAACGAACAAAAATCAATAAAATTCCATAAATAGGGATGTGTAATTACTAACATTCGTCACCACCAACAAATCTATGAAAGCCACAGCATGTACATTCATCTTTAGCGAAGCTTTGTGTACAGCAATAAGAAATTAAAGGCTCACAATGCGCATCCAAACGCTAATTTACTGCCAGTACTAGACTAGCCAAATACTCGTGCATGCAGTAATTCCACACTACCTTAGGCCCAGTCACACGCAGAGCTACGCTCATCAACGATCGCACCGTCCCTAAAAAAATTATGCCGAGCGTGGTGAGCAGTGGTGAGAGCGTGGCAATTGGCGCGCCCCAGCTGCGGCCCAGCGCCGATTAACTACGATCTAACTACGTCTAATACTACGACCGTACGTGCGTCTTAACCCCGATCTCATTGGCCTCACAAGCTTTCCACGGCGACGCTCAACACCACGCCCCGCATCACGCTTGCACTGCGCGGACATGCGTCATTATTGCGACCAATCAGATCGTGTTGCTATCGAACGACGCTTGCACTGTGCCTTAGCAACGCTCAACGCCGCGCCTCAACTGCGCGGCCAATCACGCGCCGACTGCCGCTGGAACGATCATAAAAATACCGCCGCGCCGCGTTCTATACATCATCATTCATTCTGCGCTGCTGTCAAAATTAACATCAAAGATAATTATTAGATCAACAGTGAACTTAAATAAATATTCAAATTAAAAATGTGTTACCATATATGAGTGCAACACATTTTTATCTTTAAATAGTAATTTCATTTGTTATTACACACATGTATTTTGATATATTTCAAATATATGTATGACAATATTCTTTATTTTACACTTTATTAACATAAATATAACATAACTTTATTGGACTTGATTTAACAATAATCGTGTCTTTTTGGATTTATTTAAAAGATACATTTTACATTCTTTTATTAGACATATTATTATTTAGCCTCTACAGTCAATAATCTGTCTCATAATGTATCATAAAATCCATCCTTCAACGAAAGGTCCATCTATCTTACATTATCATACGGTCCTGCCATGGCACAGATCCTGTCGGACTATTAAAGTACAGTTTCAGGTACTCTCTCTGCTTCTTTGCGCCCACGGCGTCACGGTTCGGCCGGTCACTCGATTGACATCGTGCATATTTGGCTGTTTCTCTCCAGAGTCCTGGCACCATGTAATGTTGCTCGTCTTCATTGTCAAGCTGTGCATTCTGAAGGCCTGGGTAGCGTATTTCATGAGGTTATGAAGGCAGACGCAAGCCTCGATGATGAGGCTCACTGTCTTGGGAGTTGCTGCATGGTAGTGAGTAGAAGCTGCCATCTCTGGGCCAGTATGCGAATGCATTTTCGACCACGCCGTCTCCCTCTGGACGATCCTGAGTAGTTGGTGATCATCTCTTCCCTTGTCTTGCCGCGTGGTGAGTATGGCTTCATAAGGTATGTCTCAGTCCAAAAGCATCGTCTCCAGGAAAAAGTACGGCATGTTCTGTCATCGTTCGGCAGTGGATCTGGATCAGGAAAGCCAATGGATCCATCTTCTACGAAGTCTTTCAATTCCGATTCGTTGTAGAATTGAGCAGTCTGACTGTGACCCGATCCACCCACGTCTATCCACACAAAACTTGTAGCGCCGCATCCACCAAAGCCATAAGCACCACGCAAAGAAGCCCTTATAGTATGATACAATGAGCCAGAGTTCCGTGGGCATCTGATGGCCACATGTTTCCGTCGATGGCCACCCAACAGGCATGGGGCACATTCATTTTTTCCGGAAATCTTCGGCAATGGCATGCCATTCTTCTGGCATCGTAGGACACGAAATGACCTCCTCTTTGTGTTCTTCTACAATAGCCTGGCACACCTCTGGAACCAACAGCGATATGGTGTTGCGGGCCACTCTGAAAGTCATTACGAAGTGAGGGATATTTATCACCCGATGCTAGATGCCTTATGGTGATTGCCAGTTCAGTCCTGGTTCAATGCTTTTCTGTATCGGGTGTCCTGCTTCTGGATTCTCGGCCCAATTCTGACAAGCAGTTTCATCAAACATCTCCGGAGGCATCCTCAGGAAGCTGAAGAAGGCATGCTTGATCTTTCCATGCGGAGCTCAGCCATGAGGCGATCATAGTGACCATAAAGAAGTCGTCTTTCTACGCGAAAGCCACGGACGACCACCAGCAAGATCTTTGTTGTCTTCTATTTCCTCCTCGTCCTCCTTCAGCATGATGAGGCTTGGCAATCAAGTAGTTCGTTCTTCTACGAGAAACATGGATGGAGTAGTGTTGCCTTATCCATAGTGGACACTGAACTGGTGGCGTGGCCAGCGTAGCACCCCAAATTTAAAACGTATGAAAACGTATTGACATCGGCTGAGAAGGGGTGAGACAGGCAGATCACCACGACACCGACACGCTTGCGATACGACCAATAAGTTCGTACTATGCTCGAGTTACGTGGGTACTACGCCTTCCACGTCTCTATAATCGGCCGCAGTGCGCTGTATTTCCGCCACGCGCGCACCACGATTATTTTGGACATGTTCAAAGTTTGGCCAGCGCTCCCCACGCTCATGCTGACTGCACCGCGCACGATCACGATCGCAGTACGTCCATATACGTCCACACTGCCGTTCTACACGTTTTCACCACGCTCTAAGAGCGTAGTAGCGCGCGTAGTGAGATCGGGCCCTGGTGTGACTGGGGTATTATGACAAAATAAACTCTAGTTCCTCCCTTTCACTGCACGTTGTCTTATAAAAGCGTATTTTTGAAAATACCTCCAATGTTGTTGAAATTTCTCGACGATGTTGTTGACAGTTTCCCCAATCCCCAAGCAACCGTGCAGCGGTGCTGCGGTACAGCGGCTAGCGGGCGCGAGCAAAGATAAAATCATGTGACGTCAGCGTCACCACTTCGAGGCTATTTTGTTTGGCCAAAACAGTCCGGTCGTTTGCGCCAGAATGCCAGTTTTCTCACCTCTTACTTGTGGGTTTTAAGCAAACGCGCAGTGAAATGGGAGCAACTAGGGTTTATTTTGTCATAAGGTAGTGTGATTATGCATGACACGAAGTATTTGCTAGTCTAGTACTGGAGAAATTAGCGTTTGGATGCGTATTGTGAGCCTTTAATGAATGGTTTAATATACGACCAATAGGCTTGATAACGTGCATGAATTAAACTCTAGGAGATTTGGCATACAAATGCATGAGGGGTGTGGGTGCACAGGGCAGGGGCTCACACAACTCACATCAGCTACAACAAAGAGCTCTCAGTGCATTAACATGGCTTACTGCACTTTTGAAGACATCGGCATTCAAAACACAATAGTGCACGAATAGGACCTAAGTCTTAACTAATCTTCCAACTAATCCAGTGCTTCATAGCATACACACGTCACACTGGTGCGTCGCGGTAAGGAAGCTTTGCAAACTAATATGGGCTACATTGCTACCTAACCTAAAACATCTCGTCGAAGCAGTTAATTTAATTTCATCCAATAATGAGCTTATTAAGAAAAGATTGTCTTGCATTAGTCTGTTAGAATTGCACAAATATCAATGATCACACAGACTTTCAGAAGTCTAGTAATATCACACCGACTGCGAAATCTCCTTCATGATGATGCAAAAATACACATTTTATAGCTCGAAGCAAATTAACTTATAATAAGTCATCATAAATAAGGACTAATCACTATTCTTAATTAGAAACGACTCGTATGACACCTGGATACAAGAGTAGATTTCAACTGAGCACATCAACTGGTTATATATCACTTACCACTGGATCCTTTACTACAGCTAATAGCGTGATAACATTCGTTCCACCATTCAGGTTCTCTAGGATCTTTATTTCTCTCTTAATTTTCTTCTTTTTTACTGGCTGCAAAATATTTAACCAAAATTGTGTAAGAAAATATTCACTCAATATTTCACAAACTTTTTTACTTCAAATATAAATTCACAAATCATTTATAACCTTAGCACAATTACTGCAAGCCAGAAGCCACTGATAAAATACAGTCACTTCTTGATTGAAAAGGTAATTGAAAATTAATATTCTACACCCACACCTGCCAGTCATCAATAAAAGTGAACACAGAGCATGTAATAAAACCTGTACATGATGCATGTTCAGTATAGCAATCCCTAATTCATCAGACACAAAGCATGTGAGCATGTTTTAAACAATGAAAAGATATGCAGCAAACTTTGCCATGTTGTTTGCACGTATGTTGACATGCTTGTGACCTTACACACGACTCGCTGTTGTTAGAAAAATTTACAAAATTGGTTGCTTATCAGCATTGCGCTCAACGAATATATATATATATATATATATATATATATATATATATATCCATAACCTCTTTTAACATAATCAAAACCAACTATATTTTTCCAGTAAGGCAACATTCGGCTAGATTTAGTTACAGGTCAATGCACGGCAGCCTCTATACTAACACAAACACGGCGCCCTAGTGTTAGATACATCAGCCCCTCCCCTAGTCAGGGACTGGTAACATTGGACTGGCTACTATAGTAGGTTATACAGTTATATCATAGAAATCAAAATTTCCGAAATTCAATATGGCTGGGTTTCCAGACTTATTTCCAAGACTGTGCATACTAATAAAATTTGAATTAGAAATATAATTCGAAAGTCAACAGCCATTGGAAAAATGTGAAGTGAGTCAACTAACTTGGCACTGTCAAGTGAGTGATTTGCACAATTGTCGCAATGGTGTCGGCTTTACTTCCATGCACGCTACAACTGTGCTGAAAGGTTTCACGCTCAAGCTACGTTACAAGATGATCAGCATCTTAATGTTTCTCCCAGGAAAACCACATCATGTTTTTGCTGGCTTTACTTCACCAACACGGAAGTGTATTTTTACGTGGCTTGCTCGAAAAGCGTGCTACAATATGAGCAAAAACAGTTCTTCTAGAAAGTGGGCAAAACATGTATCTGAGTGGTGGGTTAGTGAGAAGTTTTTGGGTTACAAATACAAATACAATCAATGTTGCTATGAAACTGCAGTGAGGACATAGCCGGAACACAAGTGGAAAAAACACTGTGGAAATTGAGGTGAAGACGGAAAGAGGAAATTTGAAGAGGAATGTGGCAGAGACAATAAGATGTAGGAGGAAGGATGAAAACGTGAAGAAAGGAGAAGGTGCAAAAGTGGAGGTAGATGTAGAGGTGGAGGTGGAGGAAGACGAGAAGAAAGGTGTTGAAGGTATAAACAAAAAGAAAGGTACTGGAAGAGGCAAAAGTATACAATTGAAAGTGGTATGAACAGCGGTGAAGGAATTACGAGTTGTAGAGGAAGGAGAGAGGTGCATTGGAGATGAACTGAGTGGGGTGAAAAAACAGTAGATATAGGGGAGGAAGGTACGGTGCCGGTGGAGTACAAATGAAGGCATGGGGAAGGGAAGCGGGCTGTGAAATTGTGGAGACAGGCAACAACAAGTTTGAAAAATGGGAAAACTCAAATTTAATTAGTTGCTGCTACCCCTTTCTCATCCAACCCCACCGCACACTACTCCCACGTTCTACTGCCTGCACTCTAGCACCTCTTACTTTCCAGCTCTACTTCCACTACTTTTTTCCTGTTATTTTAATTAAATAAGATGAAATGTGAACACTATCATATGAATTATTAAACTACTTGCTGTTTGAATAGTTTTTCAACTTTGCTGTGAGCTACAAATTTTAGTGGCCACAGGGCCACAGGCCCACTATAAGCTATCATCATGCCCACCCTGTGTCACTCGGCTTTTATGCCAGCAAAAAACTTATATCTGCTACATTGACGTTGATCGTTGGTTGTACCCGAGTTGCTACTAGATTATTGAATAATATTCAAAAGGTTCTTGCAGAGACTATGAGGAACTTGTTCAGTTGAAAAGATCAGTGTTCAATGCTCTTGCACTAATTTTCACTGATGCCACCTCTACCCGTAGTTTTATACTAGTAAGTAATAACATGCTACAATAGAAATATATGACAACAAGAATAAGGACTGCCAAGCAATGCTCAGAAACAAACCACTGGCATATTTCAGCATTTTTACGCATTGGTCTTAGATTAGCAACGTGGCTGCAGTGCAGGGGTCCGTTGTCAGAAACAATGTCTTAACATTAGTCTTACCATTAACTTTGACTGCTAGACTGTTGACAGAAACATCGTAAAGTTACGAGAATGCAAAATCCTAGCAAATTCCCTCTTAACGTTACGTTAAGTAACGTTACGTTACGTTAACTTTCCCTAGACCCTCTCGTAATTTTAGGACCAAGCTCAAAATAATGCAATTATAGTGATATTATATTTTATTTTAATTAGTAAGACCATGTTTCTCATGGAGAACACGTCAGAATCACTATTTATCTACTGATTGTGTACCAAAACAAACGTATAAAAGTGGCGTGTTCTCTTGTTTTGGATAATTTGAGGAGTCATGATGTTCACATCTTGAGTTGCTGTGCAAAATCATGTCTTGCAGTGCAGAATAAATTCATGACCATGTTGCTTTTTCATCAGATAATATTTATATATGGTTAATCATCATAATATGCATAGATTCCTGTGATGTACAATAAATGTGTATGAATTTGAGTTTTGTGGTCGATTCTCATCCAATCACAAGCCTTGTGACAGCAAATTAGTTCCTCTCATCGTATAGTTTTCTCATAGCTGGGATGCGTTTCTGTCAATGCTATTCTCGTAACATTAACATTGGTCGTAAGTGCTACCTTATAATTAACATTAGCCTTAACTTTACTCTGAGAACGGGCCCCAGATTATTAGTAAGGTAGCATGTGCAGAGATGCCAACACATATTTGAAGCAATCTGTAGTTGCTGGCCATCAAATTAGTAGTTCGAGGGTCACGTATTGACCCGAGTTTGCTAGGGGGGTCCGGTATGCCCCCCCGAAATTTTCTTGATTCTGAGGGTCAAAAATGACAATAAATTGACAAAAAATGACAATTTTTTTTTTCTCCGATCACAGTGAAATTCGTAGTTTGATACAAACTGGTCGTAGCGGTGCAAAAGGAATAGAAATTCGTATAAAATACGGATAAATCGTAGTGGTTGGCATCTCTGCATGCGAGTTTTTTCAGACTACACTACTTAAATGATGAAATTACACTTTATATACATGGTTTTCCAAGTTCACTACAGCACGCTACATGTACACGTGTGCGCACACGAACACGCACGCACGTGTACATATATGCCTAACAACAGGACGTAATAATTACTAGAATTATTTCATAAGCTTAGCATAAATACAATAAACATCTTTACTCTTACCTTCAGGATTTTGACTACACACTTGTCATTATTTGTGATATTTATGGCTTCAAACACTTCACTGTATTTTCCTCTTCCCAGCTTCCGTACCAACTGATAGTCTTCCTGTTTCCTGGAGACAAACGAAGCATTTTCTATTTATATTCACAAGATATTATATAGAGAAGTGGTAATACAGGGTTAGAAATTAACTTGCTGCTAGAGAAAAATCAAGCAGCAGACTTTACATCCCCGGCAGGAACACCAGAAAACCACAGCAGTTCCACCTCTACAGTATTGTCCTGTAGCCTCTGTCCGTAAGGAAGCAGCTTTGACATCTTAGTACTGTTTCCCTTGATTCATTCATTTGAACTATAGTCACCCAAGTTTCACATCGAATGAAGTACGGATCACGATAACGAGGGGTCAAACCGTCAAGGCGATTTGAAAAACAACAACCTTGAACAACTAACAACAGATTTCAACGGCAAGCAAGTATTTGCTGACAACATTAACAGCAGGAAGCAAACTGACCGTTGCAGGTAGCAGAACTGCTGCCCTAAATTTTAAACTCTGATGTGATTAATGATCGATTCTTAAAGAACTGAAGATACTTGATATGAAAATTTGAGCACCCTTTCAATATTGCAATGCAATAGACTGGAATCAAAGATGGTAGATAAATTGCTTTTCCATTTACATTTCCCGGTAGTATGCTAAGTCTGAACTCAATCGTTTGCAAATTTCCTTAATGCCGTTACTTGCGGTTCGGTGTTCATAGGTCGTGTACGTAAACATTATAATAAATGATGGCAAGTATAACACCGATTCATAAGACAAACACAAGATGGTAACAGTTTTTTTAAACCCCACACTTACCCCCACTCCACTACATGAGACTCATAGTCCCAGTACTCCCGTGGACGGTGCGTATTTGCATCCACGTACATCCTTGCTCGGCTTGGCAGAGGCATGCTTCTTGGCTTCAAGGTAAAGCGCGATGCTGCCAGCTTACAGAGAAGATTTATCCTGGAAGCAAAATAATGAATTTCATTATATTTCGGCTTCATTTTTGTTTTCTCATTATCAATTCAGCAGCACAGAATATCTATGTGCAAATGTCACAATTGTGTTTTTTTATGAAGCCTTGTTAAAACTACTATTATATAATGATATGATTCTCTACTTCCACCACCTGTTACCAATAAAAATATGAATGATTCAGTAGTATCATTTAGATTAAATTATTAAAGGTCTGTAAAATCACTCAGCAATTTTTTACAATCTCAAGAAATTATGTATAATTTTACAGATCTAGGATTCTACTGGTGTACTAGGTTGTGCTTGTATTGTTATTCTAAAAAGTGGAGAGTGTCGCCCACACTTTGAGAGTGTACTCATGACTCAGTGTACAAATTAAAATTAATAATTTTTCACTGAAACTAACATTAAAGCCACTATAACCCTAATAGTGCAAATTGAACAGGCCGAAATTGAATATATACAACAGCATATATTCTATATATTAACACTGATTTACTACATGTATTAGCAACAACTTACTTAACGATTCCATTGTGAAACTAAAAGAACCATTTTAAAATGTCCTTTGCATTTATTAAGTGGTAGCAATAAAAACCATGCAGAAAGAATCACCACCACTTAGTTTTACAAAAAAATTCCCTATAATCTATTTAATTCCTGATTCAGATCAAGTTCATCCAAATAATCAAAGTTCGTCTAATTATAACGAGTGCTACAAAAGTTTAGTACAAGTAATGTATGTGCTAGCTCTAGTAACTACTGCCCGCGTACAGTTGCCGCTGGGCTATAGGACCAGCCATTAGGGATGCGCGGGACCAACTTACTCACGCTTATTCGCGACTATAAAACGTCTGTGGTAGGCAATTAATGCCTCTTATCCGAAATGAATATGTCTCAAGTTATATTAGCTACTAAAATTTAACCTTTAACTATCGTTGCAATGGTCTACTTGCGATATTTCTGGTAAACAAACATTCAATTTGCGAAATTCAAATGGCCATTTTTGGCGGCGCTGCAGCAGCGCCAGTGAGCGGGAACTATGTATTTCCGCACGTGGAGCCGAGGGGTGGTCGGGTTGGGTTGGTTGTCGACAAAAACATTGTTGTTGTCAAGTAACAAATTAAGCGATCAAAAAAGATTGTAATATTAGTTTTGTCATGAAAGATAAACAAATTACTATTATTAATTTGTTAATTGACAACAGGGTAAAAAATACTTTTTTTTCACCAGAGCCATTTTTCTGACTTGTCAAAAATTTACCAGAGCCATTTTTTGAAGCTCCAGAGCCATTTTTTATGTATCCAGAGCCATTTTCATAGTGTCAAATTTTTGAAAAATACGTAATATAATCAATATATATAATGTACTCTTATTTATTTGTGGGATGGGGACATCAATGTAATTGTATGTATTATTAATTCCATGAGTGTGTCAAATTTTCTGTTTAATACATGTACCTATAATTATATTTACATTACTACATATCAGTAATCACACTTGTAACTCATGATCCAAACATCCTTTAAATCGATTCGCATTTACAATGCCGCCTCCGAGGCTCCGATACCTCTGACCTCGCCCATAGATCTTCTAAGTTCTATCATAGTACCATACTACCATTCTGTCCACCACTCCCCTTCTCAGTTCTCACTCTTCTCTCTCTACATGTACAGATGCTTCACTACAGTCACTACTTCTAGATTGCTTATTGTTTTGTTACTCTGTAATAAACATACGGTATGAACCACGTTATCTTTTCGTTTGGATGCAAATAAATGTTTTTTTATATAAAAATACCACTGTGCAGTTGTTTGCTTCTTTTTTCAGTCTCAAAATAAGAAAGTACACGGTTAATTTGTCACAGTCTCACAGAGATGTGTGCATGTGAGTCTGTGACATCACATCACATCTGTCAGCATATAATTTATCATTGACTATCATTCATAGTTTCAACAGACAATGTATGAATGCAATTGTCACCACATCATATTGCAGATTAATACAAGGCAAGAGCTGGATTCAGCTGGTATTATTGTCAAGTTAAATTTAAATATGAATGAAAGTGTCAACAGTTTCTAGTTTTACACTCTGTTGTATAACTTTTATTATCAATTGTATTTTATTATGCATCAGCGGGTTGATCTAGCCAGCGCCAGCTGCAGCGGATACATAAGCTGGGTTTACACTGACGATTTTGAGTTGCCAAATTGTACGAACTTGGCAGTTTGGCAACTGACAATCGCCAGGGTCACAATTAAAAAAATCTTTGTTTGCCCTCACCCGACCCAGGCTGAAAAGTTTGGGTAGGTAGGTAGGCTTTTTAAAGTTTTTTTTTTACAAATTCAGCATGGTGTCTACATGCTCGGGTGTGCTTGTGTGGAGATACCTTTTATGTTGAATGTTTGTTTTGCTTGGTACATATAATGTATTGCCTACAGATTTATATAATGTACAGTGATAAAATTTGTATAAAAAAAAGAATGGGAAAGATCAATAAAAATTTTTGAGTCGGCCTTTTTTTGGCGGGTCGGTCGGGTGAGGGCAAACAAACACTATTTTTATTATGGCCCAGTGTAAACGCAAAAGTCGCACGTCCAGCCGATCGATAGCAGTGAGTCGGAAGATTAGAACATGTTCTAATTTCCCTAACTCGGAGCAGGCGGGTTGGACGGTTTTTTGCCAAGTGGCCAATCAGACAACAGCAATCAGGAGTGTGTCCCTCCACCCTAAGGGGAGAACACATTTTTGCTTTAGGCGCCACGCTGGCAGCATGTAATACATGCAAAAATGCATATCCACATCGCCCCGCGCGCGCTACGGGTCAAAAAAGAAAAACGCCAACTTGACTGCATATAATCGGCAGTGTAAACCCAGCACGGTGTATATCAGAGTTAATGAGATAACCTTTTATCTCATAAAATCCTGGTGTATATGTAGCGCTCGCTGTACGTATGTAGGGCCTACTTGTGTACATTTCAATTTATCAGGCCACAGGAGCGATTTTCTCTCGGGCGATCGCTCCCGTTATTGTTCTTACCAGAGCGATTTTAGACTTTTAGAGCTTACCAGAACGAAATCGCTCGTCGCTCCCGTGTATTTTATTCCCTGCTTGACAACAACGTTTTTGTCCACAACCAACACAACCCGCCCACCCCTCCACATGCGGAAATACATAATTCCCGCTGACTGGCTGGAGTAAGTTGGTCCCGCACATCCCTAATGGCTGGTCCTATAACCCAGCGGCAACTGTACGCGAGCTATAGTTACTAGAGCTATGTATGTGTCAACATATTATTGCTGTTCTGATCAAAAATTGCGACTTATATTGTTGTTTACTATTTACAACCAACATAGCCTGCAATGATTGACACTCGACAACACCACCAACACAATACTCAATACTCAGTGTCAATACAATACGTAGCAATAACAAATGGGTAAGAAATTCACAATAAAACTAAACAAAAATTCTATAACTAAAATATGACATACAATAACACATAAGTGTCTAGCTTGCTTTCAATACTCTTACCTGCTTAGAATCAGGCCTGACGGTGATGACGTACCTCGCCAGATAGGAGTAATAAATGCCAAACTGTTGGGCTGGGTTCTAGGCGGGCACCTAGACAGCCAAGCGACGAATAAATGGATTCAGTTGTCCTTCAATTTCTGCTCTAGAACAGAAACATGATTATATTTTTAAGCATATTAATAAGTAGTTACTAAAAAACGTACTGTATTGAAGAAAAATGTCATGAATGAACTATTACTGAAGCAGGAAATTACACACAATGCTTTGAATTTTGTAACACGTAATGAAATACAGAGAAATCTTTCGCCATGCCTTGGTATTGAGAAAGCGATGGCTTGATCAAGAACCCTTCCTAAAAATCACAAATTTAACAAATTTACTAAATAATTGACATCCTCTCTATTATTATTATATTTTTCATATCGTGTGCTTGCAAGCTACTTAATTGTAATACGACTTGATTTTGTAATAAACAAATTAAAGTTACCTTATTTGTTCCTCATCTATCCGCTTGTTGTAGAAGTATAGGCGGCAGCACAATACCACAATGGCTGACAGTGTAGTGTTAAATCGGCAAAGTTACTGCAAAATTTTACTTCATGTCTTTAAATACCCACATTGTGCGTTGAATGGGTTACTATTGGCACAGAAGCAAAAAGGCAAAGAAAGTAAACCACCGCACATTGTGGATACTGTGCCTTTGTTTCATTTAAATATAGGTCTAACGCCAATGATGGAAGTTGCTCTGTCACAGGTACGGGCCAATGGAAATGGCCATAAGATTAAGACTATTAGTATTACTAGTATTAGTATTATTATTACGACGTGGATATTCGTCCGAGCATCGGACACTTGTTCGTATGCGCTATTCGTCCGAGCAGTTGTTGCGTGTGCGCTGTTCATGTTGCATGCCGGCGCACGGCACGAGTGCCGGAGGTAGGACGTGTGAAGGGGGGGGGGTATGGGGGGTTTACCCCCAGAAAATTTTCAAATCTAGACGCTCTAAAATGCTAAATTGCTATGAGCGTTTTGCTACGGCAACCCTACGGCTGTGACGCCCCTGCATACATGCGTATGTGGTTATACACCATAGATAGTGTTTGGTACTATGACTCAAGTATAATAAGAGATCCGAGTCGGTTTATAGTTAGTGTTAGCGTTAGGTTTGTTGTGGTTGTGGTTGTGGTTGGGGTTAGAGAGTAGGTGACTCCCTAGAGTAGCATTATATCAAGAGCATATAAGGAAGGAGAGCGTACAACGGTAAAATGCTGAAACCACGTTGCAGTATTAGTCGAATTAATAAGCTTTCCCCGTTTTATTTTGACGATTTTTTGCAGTATTATTGATTAGCTGTGTCCGCATGTCCCTACAATGCCCGTACACTGAGATAATGAGCGGTGAAAATCTGGTATTTTCGCCGAACACCTACTAGACATTAGTCAGTTACTGTGACCGTCTCTCGAAGTGTTATAACTTTGGTAAACCTTGCGTGTTTCCGTCAATGATTGACAAATGGAATGAATGACGTCTGTTATTGATTGCCATAGTGATGACCCCCACCTGTGCCCACCTCACGTCCACCTCACGCTGGATGTATAGTAAACTCTGGTAGTATGACGTGAGTCAGCGCCACTATGGCGCTACACAGCGGCGACCAGAAGCAACACACTGGCCACAGTGTGGGCCGTACACTCCGCCCACACGAGAGAGGGTCGCAGTTCCTAGTCATCTGATTGGGATTTCGGCGAAAAAACCAGATTTTCACCGCTCATTATCTCAGCGTAGGAGCATCGTAGAGACAAGCAGTTTGTTTTATATGAACAAGGTAGGACATCTGATCATCGTCAAAATAACATGGGAAAAGTTTATTAATTCGACTAATACTGCAACATGGTTTCAGCATTTTACTGTTGTACGCTCTCCTGTTTCATATGCTCTTGATTACATTACATTTATGTAATACAACATGAACAGCGCATGCGCAGTTGTTGCTCGGACGAATAGCGCATACGAACAGGTGTCCGATGCTCGGACGAATATCCACGTCCTTATTATTAAGACTAAGAGCATAAAATGACCTACGTTATACTTCACATATTATGTAGCTTCATGAATCATTCTTACATCTTAATTCAATACTTTGTATCTTGAGAATCAATGTTTTGCCCATCTTCATATTAATATTAGGACGTGGATATTCATCAGAGCATCGGACACCTGTTCGTATGCGCTATTCGTCCGAGCAGTTGTTGTGCATGCGCTGTTCATATTGTATTACATAAATGTAATATAATGCTAGTCTAGGGAGGCGCATACTACCGAACCATGCCTAATCTCTAACCCTTCCACTAATCCTACACCAAACCCTAACCCTAACACTAACTATAAACCGACTCGGTTCGCTTATAGTTATATACGCGAGTGATAGGACCAAACACTATCTATGGTGTATAACCACATACGCAACGCATCAGGAGCTAATAATGACAAATTTGTCATTATTAGCTCCTGAACGCATGTATGCAGGTGCGTCACAGCCGTAGGGCTGCCGTAGCAAAACGCTACGGCTCCCCAGTCTAAAGGGCAAAAAATCATAAATCTAAAGGGTAAACAGCATTTTAGAGCGTCTAGATTTAAAAATTGTACCTTCCTACCTCCGGCACTCGTGCCGTGCGCCTGCGGCTAGCTCTATGACTATAGCCCGCGTTCATTAACTGCCGCAGGGCTATAGAAAATTTTCAGCTAGATTTCGTAACTGCAACCTGTTACCACGACTGTCCCCACGAAAAATGGATCGCAAAACGGAAAATGATCGGGCTTTTTAACACTTATTTATCTACATGGACATCTCACCTATCTTTTTGAACACTTTCCACAACTTTACACTATGTATTTATCCATTTATTCCTCAAAGTAAGCACTACTGGCAATTCACTACTGGCAATTTTGAAATGATGTGGCGAGCGCACGCGTGACGTCACCGGTATTGTATATATATACATGCACCATAGCTGCCATGTGTTTTGCCTACATATCCGGTGACGTCACTCGTGTGCTCGCCACATCATTTAAAAATTGCCAGTAGTGAATTGCCAGTAGTGCTTACTTTGAGGAATAAATAGATAAATACATGGTGTAAAGTTGTGGAAAGTGTTCAAAAAGATAGGTGAGATGTCCATGTAGATAAATAAGTGTTAAAAAGCCTCATCATTTTGCGTTTTGCGATCAATTTTTCGTGGGGACAGGTGGTAACAGGTTGCAGTTACGAAATCTAGCTGGAAATGTTCTATAGCCCGGCGGCAGTTAATGAACGCAAGCTATAGTACTAGAGCTAGCCTGCGGCATGCTACATGAACAGCGCATGCGCAACAACTGCTCGGACGAATAGCGCATACGAACAGGTAGTGATGTCACGATCATCGATTATACTCGATCATCGGTTGAACAGTGGCTCGAACCAAGCGCTTGGTTATCAAAATCCATAATCGATTTCCTAAAAAAAAATTTTTTTAAACTTTAACAAGAAAATTTGGAAAAGTGATGAGAATCAGAGATATCGCTACTATACATGTTGTCCTTTATTAACATACATGTATTATACACACAGTAGTAAACAGTGCAAAACAAACAGTAAACAGGGCTAAACAAGCACATACATGCACACACGTACATGCACACGACGTTACGCACAAGCAGGCATGCAACACCCCGAGTAACCGATTGTAACCGATCATCGGTTACTTGGGTCCAACCGATGATGTTGATGATCGACGGACCACGAACAGGTGTCCGATGCTCGGACGAATATCCACGTCGTTAATATTAATAGGATTCTGTCAAGTTTTATTTTTTTACTTTACCTTTTTAGGTAAATATTCATATATATACACATACTGTTACAATGAATTTTAAATTCAAGAATTTAGATAACTACCAAGGATGTATGCACAAAAGTATGGCAAGCACACTTATTTACATTGTGGCAGTGTGGTTCTTGCAACATTACTCCTAATCATAGGAGTAACTAGCAGGACAGCCAGCGTTGCCCGGGAAATAAAGCGCTCAGTTGGTAACAACTTGGTTGAAAGAAAAATACCCAAAAATCTATCTATTTATTCTACTCTATCGCATCTATCTGATCTAATCTGAATTGATCTAGTTTATCTTATCTATTTATCTATCTATGTAATTATTTATCTATCTATGTAATATTTCATCTATCTATCTATTTAATTTATCATTTATATCTATCAATCTCTATCTATCTATCCATCCATCTATCTAATCTTACCTATTACTCATATCTATCTGTTAAGTGTTGTAATAACATGTCTGAATAGCCTATGTCAGCCACTAGATGGCGACAGCGATGGCAATAGATGGGTGTAACGTACACGTGTATACACGAGACATGCGTCTAAACAGAGGAATTGCATCCGACCCTGTGATTGGAAGGATCAAAAATCGAGGAGGGTCGGGGGGGGGCCGGGGGCCGCCGGGCCCACTTCCGCACGCCCATTTTTGGAGGAATAAAAAGTAGAATTCGTGAGCGTTTCGTTTCAACACGGTCATAGCCGCGCGTCATGATTTGCTAATTAATTAGCGACTAATCGCGCTTCAATAGACTCAAATCACAGAGATTAAATGCTAAGACGTGTCTATACTAGCTAGAATTTATAGAAAGTAACCTCAAACTCGTTTCGCTCCATATGATAGTTAGTACACGTTGCCTAAACCGTCAAATGAGCAATAATGCGTATGGCGCAGGAGTGGCGGGTCTTATTGTTTATCCTCCAATCACAGGTCGGAGCAATTCCTCTGTTTAGACGCATGTTACACGAGGCAGTTAAGCAGTGGACAGGGCACGGAGCACGGAGCACACGGTTATGTAGCTGAATAAATGCTTGTGTAAACGTTCTCCACTGGTTCTGGTTTTGGCTATGACTTCGTGGCTGTGCACTGTGCAGCACGTAACATGGTGGCAGCGGTAAACTGAATAAACCATGCACAGGATAGGACATCTGTGGAAAGCTGTGTTATAGCCTGGAGAAAGATTCACAAGTCAAATGGAGGTGCGCGTGACACGTGGCAGTGAGCCTGACAGGCAGGGCTACAACTTCGGCAGCATAAAGCCACCACAGCCCCTGACTTTGGAAGAAGACAAAGTAGGGAGTTGGAAGCTTTTTAAGAAAAGATGGGACAACTACAACCTGTTATCTGGGCTACACACGAAAGACCGTGCGTTTCAGGTAGCAATGCTTGAGAACTGTCTCGCTGACGATGCGATGAAAACGCTCAGTGGGTTTAGCTTCTCAACGCCCGAGAACTGGGAGAAACCCGAGAACCCGAGAACCCGAGAACCCGAGAACTCTCCGCCCACAAAGAACTGTCACTGAAATTACAGGGAAATTTTAAGAATATGCCATAGGCATAGGTGAGGTGAATGAAACCATGGAGAGATTTTTATTTTACCGGCGTTGTCAGCAGGAAGGGGAGGACTTTGATCACTTCCTGGCCGACCTCAGAACACTGGCACAAACCTGTAAGCTTTGCAGCACGTGCGAGGCTTCTATGATAAGAGACAGAGTTGTGCTGGGAATAAGAGAAAATGAAACGAGAGAAGACTTGCTAAAGATAAGAAAACTTGACCTTGACAGGTGCATTGATGTGTGCAGGGCTGCACAGTCTGCTTCGTTGTGTGACAGAGCATTGAAGCCAGTTATGCCTGATACTGTGCACAAAATAAGGGCAAGA